AGCTCAACATCTTTATGAGACTTATCCTCACTAATATATATTTTTGCATTTTCATTCACTTTCACTTTCACTGCTGGGTTCTGTTTACAAATACACATATTTATATATCCATGACCCTATTAATACACTTTTGTCTTGTTTCTACTTTTTTATTCCAAATATTCCATGGTGCCATGAATACTCCCATCTCATGCAATGCTTTCCTTAGGAGAATATACTTGGGACTTAGATTATTTCAGCAAGTACATTTCAAAATTCTCCTCAGGTGGTATTCACAATTGGATCAGATTATTAGATCATTACAATAAATATACAGCAGTATCATTACTATTTAAAATCCTTTTCCAAATGGTTGCAAAAGTTTATACTGTGATAACAGTTATGTTGTTAACAATTCATGACATGACTGTTAATCAAATTCCTCCTCTGGAATAAGATGCTTTGAAATTTTTCCATTGTTGTTTTGTGCATTTTTCTAGTTGTTTTTTTTTTAAACTAGAGGATATATCCTCAGCCTATTGCGGTGCTGTCTTTTTCTTCTTGATCTACAGGGTTTTTGTTATTTGTTTACTATTTGCTGGGGGAAAAACCCTTGTTGAAGTTGTTGCTTGTAGATAGCTTTTCTTAGTTGTGGCTTGGCTTTTTTTTTTTTTTTTGGGTCCGGTCGTGGGGCCTGAACTCTGGGCTTGGGCGCTGTCCCTCAGCTCTTCAGCTCAAGGCTAGCGTTCTACCACTTGAGCCACAGCGCCACTTCCGGCTTTTTTCTTTTTGCTTATGTGGTGCTGAGGAATCGAACCCAGGGCCTCATGCATGCAAGGCAAGCACTCTACCACTGAGCCACCTTCCTAGCCCTGTGGCTTGGCTTTTTGCTTTACAAAATTCCACATTTATGGAAGTGGTGATGTTAAGGTTATCAAAGACTTATTCTTTTTCTTTAGGTTACACTTTATTTATAGGTTTTATGTTATTTTGTAACATGTAAAAGCAGAAAACAGAACAAAATTATTGATTATTAAAAATAGGGCCAAATAGGGAGCTGGGAAGGTGGCTCAGTGGTAGAGCGCTTGCCTTGCATGCCTGAGGCCCTGGGTTCGATTCCTCAGCACCACATAAGCAAAAAGAAAAAAGCCGGAAGTGGCGCTGTGGCTCAAGTGGTAGAACGCTAGCCTTGAGCTGAAGAGCTGAGGGACAGCGCCCAGGCCCAGAGTTCAGGCCCCATGACCGGACCAAAAAAAAAAAAAAATAGGGCCAAATATTAAAGGCAGAACCCCTCTGTAGAGAGAAACTTCAGGTCAAATGACCAGCAGTCAGTCTTAGCCCCTTTACATCCTTGCTAAAAAGCAAAAATACATCTCACCCTCTCTCAAGTTTATCAAGCTGGCAGCTTTGCAGTTTACCACAAGCTTTGCTGAAGCCATCGACAACCTTGAGGCTTATCATCAGCTGTACTGAGTTGCAGTATTAGTCAGGAGCTTATAATAAAAATCACTTCTGTAAGGGAAATTTCAGTGCACCCCCAATCATGGGAATGAGTTTCTAACATTTTGAGATTTAAAATATGCTTCCCCTTCCCAAGGTTATGTTTTGACTTCTGTAAGCCAAGAGTATGTTTTGACTTTTTGTAATAATGTTTATAGCATTGCTAGTAGCCATTATGCAGACTAAGTCAAAATTATGTTTGCCTATGTTCTTATGACTCAAGGCTAAGTT